TGTGAACATTTTAGACTAGTCATGTTGAGCGTCCTCACTCATTTTTTGCTTGCTCGGGATGTGGCTATGTCACTGGCTTTTTTTCAAAGTGGTGTAATATGGTGTACTGTATCAAAACGGGTGAATATTTTTTTTTGAAGTCTGTTAAAACTGACAGATTTGGATCGATTTCAGTCAACTCCAACCATGTTGATATGTCTACGCTGTTTGTACTAGTCATAGAACTGATATCAATCTCAGAGTAGATAGAGAAAATTATTCTCTATCGAACTGTATATTTAGTTTTTTAAAAAAGAGGCAAGTAAAAAGAGGATACCATCATGCAATGTCGATACAGCTATTTTTGGAAAACAGAGCGTGAAATAATGCTAGATTACTCCCCTCATACTTATGTCTTTGACATTGTTTTTAAATATAAACTCAGCTAACCATCATTTTCTCCTGTTCAACAAGCCACTAGACTATATGTAAATACCTTCCCGAGATAAAGAAAATATTTTTCGACCACAATTATATTAATTGACAACAAGACAATAGTATTTGAGAAAAAGTATACCAGAAATGTTCAAAAATTCCACAAATAATAGACAAAAGGCTATTATCGCAATCCCTGTGGGATTAAAATGTGAAACACGATCGAGCTACTCTCGTCATAAATGAGGACATTTACCAACATGTCTGTCACGGTCTGTGATGGTCGTTGCTAAGGGTATGGGTGTGGATGTGAGTGTAAGTCTTCGGTTCAACCACACCCACACCCACACTCTAATTCTTTCTATGTAATTGATTCATGTCTTGATTAGTTTGGTGATCAAAACACTAAGTTTTTGGTGATCATTTCATAGCTAGAAAATTTGGTGATCCTTTGGTTTTACACATTATTTATTACCAATAGTAATAGCTGGTGCATCGATCTTCTTTATCATGAATAATTTACAAACTACTGCATTCGGTTTTATTTACTCAATACTTGAAATCATATTGTACGGGATTACAACTGTATCAGGTGTAATATATGAGAATCCTCCAACAAAAGTTGCTGGAGTAAATTTACAAGAGGTGATAGGAATGTGTTATCGGTGGAGTCCGAGTTATTTTAGCGTTGTTACAACACTTTAATTACAATGGTACATTTTTATACATCACACAACTTATTCTAACATGGTTATCTATTGCATACGTGATAAGAATATTTGGTGACGCGTTTGATCGATGTTGATTAGGACGCGTGGAGAATAATAGTATTAGTGTGGTATGACTTTCGATTAGGTTTTTTTTGTTCTAAATGTTTTATTTTGCTATTCTATAATAAAAAAAAATGAATAGATTTTTCTTTCTCGCATTCAGATTAAACCAGAGATGTCCATCGCGGCTGAAAACCTGCCACTGCCGCGCCGCTGTGGTATAAAATCGAAAGCACTCGCGCCGCTATATTATGTAAAATACATGTTGCCGCGGTGCTTCTGCATCTCAACATACTAAAAACATTGCCGTTTTTGCAGCGATATTTGAAGAAATGGTTACAGCACCGCTACTACCATTACATGAAGAAAAAATGCCATTTGTCGGTCTACAATAGTCATGCAGTCTGGTTTTCACTCGAAATCATTGAGAATAACGGTTTAGATGCTATAGTAACAAATAACTTCTAAGTATATATAGAACAAGTATAGCTTCTGAGATCACATTGACTATTTAAGTTCTTCATGGAACAACGAAAGAATCTTCATATTGTAATCAGTATATTTCTCGTACCAACGTAATTAACTTAGATAAGCTTAAAGCTTTTATTAGTCTCCGCGCTTTAAAATCACCGTAAAATGCAACATTTAGAAAAAGAATTTAATTTATCTACTTTATGTGAAAGACTGGTTTAATTTCAACTGTGAAGCTGGAAATTTTTTAGAATTATAGAGTAAATTTCTGCAAAAAAATCGCGCCGCGTCGCTGTCGCGGTGGCTAAAAAAATGAAAAGCCGCTGCCGCGCCGTCAACCGCGACCGCGGCCGCGGCGCGATGGACATCTCTGGGTTAAACATTCTTATGCAAACCATGTAAGATCTTATCATATCATTTTTAGTAAGTAAATTATTTAC